GGAGTTACCAGAATTCGAACTTCGTATGGGTTGAACAATGACATCTCCCTAGTAAGGGCGTGTTACATTTTCGATTTTTTCGGACGGTTCGGACAGCACCACTTGAAACCGTAGCAGCAGGCAGTGGAAGCATTAGGACAATCACCACTTCAAACGTTTCGAAACGTTTTGAAACCCAATTGAACAAAGCGTTTTACAACAAAACCACTCTGAACCGTTCTGATGGTCCGGTCCGTTTGGAAATATTTGAAAATGTAACACGCCCTAAGCCGCCTCACAGCCGGACTCGACAGTTGCGACGCTCACTGGAAGGCTTCCCCGCAACCGACGGGAACCACGGTTACCACGGCCCTATCCTGGATAATTATTGCCCACCAATAAATTGACGAAACAACGACACTTCTCGAAAAGTATCGTTGAGCCCTTCGCCATCACTGTCTGACCCACAGCGTACGTTACCGTCGCCACTGTCAGCTCGCGAAGGTTTTGAAATTATTGCCATCCCATGCACATGGCCAATTTACTAGTAACGGGAGGAAATCGACATGCGACTCGAAGCCGCACTTTGCGCTAGGCCCCCCAGACCGCAACTCCTGAATCTCTCCCCACTCACGCAACTATATCAGTTTCCTGCTTCTCCACCACATCATCATTCAAATCGACCACCTTCCAAGCATCCACTGTCTGATATTCAAGCGCGCTTTTCCGAAGTCGGTTTTAAACCTTGGTTTTCGCGCTGCTCCTTTTCCCGATGGCTCGCGTTTCCAAGGTCGCCAGCCTGCTGTGCGTCGGAATAGTCCTGCTCGCGCTCGCCCTCACTCCTGCCGACGCCATTCCGGCTACCTCCTCCGACCTGAACAGCGACGGCACGTGCTACCGCGACTTCCAAGGTCGCTTCCGCAACAGTCCTTATTTCGGCAAGGTTGCGCAGGTGCCTGTCAGCAAGTTTAACAGCAACAAGGGCTGCGGAACGTGCTACGAGGTTTCCTGCTCGGGCCGCGCATGCAAGGGCGGCTCCGTGAAAGTGCGAGCGATCGGGAATAGTGGATGGGAGGCCTTTAATCTCGATGCTCCCGTGTGGAACCAACTCGTGGGCGGGCAGGGCGGGCAAGTGGAGGTCACGTACGATCCCGTGGATTGCGATAGCAGCGGCGGAATGGCGGTGAGACTCTTGGGCCAAGCCAGTCGGGACTATTTTGCCCTTCAGATCCTCGGAACGGCGAAGAAAGGCGGCGTGGACAAGGTGGAGCTTTCGAGTGACGGGAAGAAGTGGAGTAGCATGTTCATTGAAGGCGGCGCGTGGGTGATGAGGCCCGCCACAGGCGTCGTGGAATCGGGACGCGCGGTGAGCGTGCGCGTGACGGCGGCGGACGGCGGCCGGCAGGTTGTGCTGGACAGGGTGATTCCGAGCAACTGGAGCGGCCGCGAGGAGACCTACAAGACCAACAAGAACTTCTAGACGTTGTGACGCTGCGAATAATCGCGACGGCGCTGCTAGTAACGGGACGAAGGCGCTGCTTGTAACGGGATGCGCTGTTAGGAGGTGGTGTGACGCACGAGAGTGTTTGCTAATAATGCTGCTACCATGGCATATGGTGGTGTGCAAGGCAGTGAATAAAAGCCCGGCCATTTCAGGTGCAGGCGGATGGGTATCATGAGGCTGCATGGTGATGTGATGCGATGCGATGGATGTGGTGCTGGTTTAAGTACGGGCTGGTGATAAGTACGGTAGGTGCTGGCGATATGCCCCCTTTCTTTTCTCTGTTTCAGTAGTTGGGAAAGGTGATTGTGCGTGCTTTGTTGCCTTCCACTGTCATCTTTTCAATAAAACTTTTATTTTCTGAGACATCTCAAAACTGGTACCCTGAAAGCATCTTCAGCCGTGGTGAGAAAATTAGTGCCCATGTCTACATTCAGAGCTTTTGAATCGTACGGTAAACAATGCTCAGTTGTGAAAAGAAGGTAGAGGCTTAGAGTAACTAGGCTAAGAGATGCAAGCTTGAACAGCTGTTTTTGCTGTTTTTGCTGTTTCAGCTGTTTTTGCTGTTTTTGCTGTTTTTGCTGTTTCAGCTGTTTTTTGCTGTTTTTGCTGTTTTTGCTGTTTTTGCTGTTTTTGCTGTTTTTGCTGTTTTTGCTGTTTTTGCTGTTTTTGCTGTTTTTGCTGTTTTTGCTGTTTTTGCTGTTTTTGCTGTTTTTGCTGTTTTTGCTGTTTTTGCTGTTTTTGCTGTTTTTGCTGTTTTTGCTGTTTTTGCTGTTTTTGCTGTTTTTGGGTTTAGAGTTGCGTGGCTGGGAGAGATTTGGGAGTGTAGGGACTTGGTGGAATTCCGCGCAGAGTGCGGCTTCGAGTCGTCAATTTCCTACCTGGGCTGGTGCCGCGGAATGCCAATAATTTTGAGCCCTTCGCGAACTGACCTCGTGGCGACGGTTACGAAGACGGAGGGTGGGTTGGCGAGGGGCCCAACGGTGTTTGCATGGGAGTGGAACGGCGAATTGCTCTTCGGCAAGGCCATTTTTGTGTTACCACCGTGGATGTGGATCGTCAAACGTGCGGAGTTACCAGAATTCGAACTTCGTATGGGTTGAACAATGACATCTCCCTAGTAAGGGCGTGTTACATTTTCGATTTTTTCGGACGGTTCGGACAGCACCACTTGAACCGTAGCAGCAGGCAGTGGAAGCATTAGGACAATCACCACTTCAAACGTTTCGAAACGTTTTGAAACCCAATTGAACAAAGCGTTTTACAACAAAACCACTCTGAACCGTTCTGATGGTCCGGTCCGTTTGGAAATATTTGAAAATGTAACACGCCCTAAGCCGCCTCACAGCCGGACTCGACAGTTGCGACGCTCACTGGAAGGCTTCCCCGCAACCGACGGGAACCACGGTTACCACGGCCCTATCCTGGATAATTATTGCCCACCAATAAATTGACGAAACAACGACACTTCTCGAAAAGTATCGTTGAGCCCTTCGCCATCACTGTCTGACCCACAGCGTACGTTACCGTCGCCACTGTCAGCTCGCGAAGGTTTTGAAATTATTGCCATCCCATGCACATGGCCAATTTACTAGTAACGGGAGGAAATCGACATGCGACTCGAAGCCGCACTTTGCGCTAGGCCCCCCAGACCGCAACTCCTGAATCTCTCCCCACTCACGCAACTATATCAGTTTCCTGCTTCTCCACCACATCATCATTCAAATCGACCACCTTCCAAGCATCCACTGTCTGATATTCAAGCGCGCTTTTCCGAAGTCGGTTTTAAACCTTGGTTTTCGCGCTGCTCCTTTTCCCGATGGCTCGCGTTTCCAAGGTCGCCAGCCTGCTGTGCGTCGGAATAGTCCTGCTCGCGCTCGCCCTCACTCCTGCCGACGCCATCCCGGCTACCTCCTCCGACCTGAACAGCGACGGCACGTGCTACCGCGACTTCCAAGGTCGCTTCCGCAACAGTCCTTATTTCGGCAAGGTTGCGCAGGTGCCTGTCAGCAAGTTTAACAGCAACAAGGGCTGCGGAACGTGCTACGAGGTTTCCTGCTCGGGCCGCGCATGCAAGGGCGGCTCCGTGAAAGTGCGAGCGATCGGGAATAGTGGATGGGAGGCCTTTAATCTCGATGCTCCCGTGTGGAACCAACTCGTGGGCGGGCAGGGCGGGCAAGTGGAGGTCACGTACGATCCCGTGGATTGCGATAGCAGCGGCGGAATGGCGGTGAGACTCTTGGGCCAAGCCAGTCGGGACTATTTTGCCCTTCAGATCCTCGGAACGGCGAAGAAAGGCGGCGTGGACAAGGTGGAGCTTTCGAGTGACGGGAAGAAGTGGAGTAGCATGTTCATTGAAGGCGGCGCGTGGGTGATGAGGCCCGCCACAGGCGTCGTGGAATCGGGACGCGCGGTGAGCGTGCGCGTGACGGCGGCGGACGGCGGCCGGCAGGTTGTGCTGGACAGGGTGATTCCGAGCAACTGGAGCGGCCGCGAGGAGACCTACAAGACCAACAAGAACTTCTAGACGTTGTGACGCTGCGAATAATCGCGACGGCGCTGCTAGTAACGGGACGAAGGCGCTGCTTGTAAACGGGATGCGCTGTTAAGAGGTGGTGTGACGCACGAGAGTGTTTGCTAATAATGCAGCTACCATGGCATATGGTGGTGTGCAAGGCAGTGAATAAAAGCCCGGCCATTTCAGGTGCAGACGGATGGGTATCATGAGGCTGCATGGTGATGTGATGCGATGCGATGCGATGGATGTGGTGCTGGTGATAAGTACCGTAGGTGCAATAAGCCCCCTTTCCTTTCTCTGTTTCAGTAGTTGGGAGAGGTGATTGTGCGGGCTTTGTTGCCTTCCACTTTCATCTTTTCAATGAAACTTTTATTTTTTCTGAGACATCTCAAAATTGCCACTGTGAAAGCATCTTCAGCCGTGGTGAGAAAATTAGTGCCCGTGCCTACATTCAGAGCTTTTGTTTGTACGGTAACAATGCTCAGTTGTGAAAAGAAGGTAGAGGCTTTTAATAACTAGGATAAGATATGCAAGCTTGAACAGCTGTTCTTGCGGAGTGCCATTTACATCAAAAGCTGCACGACGCAGGATACGCATAAAAGAGTCGCCGTTACCATGTGACAACTTCTTACACCTGGTTCTGTTACTGAAAAAAGCATCCAGGCAACCCCATTCACACTGCAGCAGTCCAGTTCTAATACCGTAGCTCAAATTTAATCCTCGTATCCCATCGAATCAGATGCCACAGACAGCAATCTAATCAAATCGGCTTATGCAGCACAGCGGTTGCAGTCACATCGAATGTAGCAGCAGCCCTGTCAAACAAGCAGCAGCAGCAGCAGCAATCCAGGCGGTGTGAGGTCAGAGGCGGTCGGTCTCAGTGGCAAGGCGCCTGGCCTTGCTCTCCAGTAGTTTCACTGCCTCTGTGAAGACTTTCGCGGCGCCTCAAAGGCAACAATTTAGGAGTTGAGATGAGTCAGAGGCGGCCGGTCTTGGTGGCAGTCAGAGGCGGTCGGTCTCAGTGGCAAGGCGCCTTGCCTTGCTCTCCAGTAGTTTCACTGCCTCTGTGAATAGCACGTTGGGGGGCAGTGCTCCCGTGCTCTCCACTGAGACTGTGGGGTGTAGAGGAAGGGGGGGACAGGAGCGAAGGGAGGGAGTGGTGTGAGATGCTTTCTTCAAGTTTCACTGCCTCGGTGAATAGCACGTTGGGGGGCAGTGCTCCCGTGCTCTCCACTGAGACTGTGGGGTGTAGAGGAAGGGGGGGACAGGAGCGAAGGGAGGGAGTGGTGTGAGATGCTTTCTTCAAGTTTCACTGCCTCGGTGAATAGCACGTTGGGGGGCAGTGCTCCCGTGCTCTCCACTGAGACTGTGGGGTGTAGAGGAAGGGGGGGACAGGAGCAAAGGGAGGGAGTGGTGTGAGATGCTTTCTTCAAGTTTCACTGCCTCGGTGAATAGCACGTTGGGGGGCAGTGCTCCCGTGCTCTCCACTGAGACTGTGGGGTGTAGAGGAAGGGGGGGACAGGAGCAAAGGGAGGGAGTGGTGTGAGATGCTTTCTTCAAGTTTCACTGCCTCGGTGAATAGCACGTTGGGAGGCAGTGCACCTGTGCTCTCCACTGAGACTGTGGGGTGTAGAGGAAGGGGGGGACAGGAGCGAAGGGAGGGAGTGGTGTGAGATGCCTTCTTCAAGCTTGATGGCCTCTGTGAATAGCACGTTGGGCGGCAGTGCACCTGTGCTCTCCACTGAGACTGTGGGGTGGCAGTGGGAGGGAGGGGGGGTGGGAGAGAGAGAGGAGAGGAGGGAGAGGAGGGTCAGGAGGGAGAGGAGGGTCAAGAGGGAGAGGAGAAAGGCGAATGAGCAACGGTAGTGCTCGAGTCATCAAACTGAAAGTGCGGACCATAAGGATAAGGGTTGGTTGACATGGTAAGGCATGGTGAGATATGGTGATGCATATTCAAACATGGAGAGATGATAGGATAGGCGCCAAGGGCTGAACAAAATAGCCGAGTTTGGCGTGCGGCGGCATATGATTGCGTAATGTTTCTTGACTGTATCTGTTGGCAGTACGGACAGAGATACGCCATGTCAGAGACAAAAGTTGAGAAGAAACAGTGTCAGTTGAATGGAAGAAAAAGGCTTAAAGAAGTTGACAATATTGAGAGAAACAGCGCATGGGAGGAGCATTGGTGGTCTTACAGATGAAGTGGTCCCGTTTCCTTCTGAGCTGAATGTAGTCGCCCCATCCCTCCTCCCTAATGCACTCCCGACACACCGTGCAGTTGCGCGCACGTGGGGCTGTGGCCTTCTGAATGCCTGCACGCATGGCAATGGGGCGGGGCAAGGGGGAGAGCGGATAGGGGGAGAGTGACTTTTGAGTCGACTCAAAAGTCATCTGAATACCTGCACGCATGGCAATGGGGCGGGGCAAGGGGGAGAGCGGATAGGGGGAGAGTGACTTTTGAGTCGACTCAAAAGTCATCTGAATACCTGCACGCATGGCAATGGGGCGGGGCAAGGGGGAGAGCGGATAGGGGGAGAGTGACTTTTGAGTCGACTCAAAAGTCATCTGAATACCTGCACGCATGGCAATGGGGCGGGGCAAGGGGGAGAGCGGATAGGGGGAGAGTGACTTTTGAGTCGACTCAAAAGTCATCTGAATACCTGCACGCATGGCAATGGTGCGGGGCAAGGGGGAGAGCGGATAGGGGGAGAGTGACTTTTGAGTCGACTCAAAAGTCATCTGAATACCTGCACGCATGGCAATGGTGCGGGGCAAGGGGGAGAGCGGATAGGGGGAGAGTGACTTTTGAGTCGACTCAAAAGTCATCTGAATACCTGCACGCATGGCAATGGTGCGGGGCAAGGGGGAGAGCGGATAGGGGGAGAGTGACTTTTGAGTCGACTCAAAAGTCATCTGAATACCTGCACGCATGGCAATGGGGCGGGGCAAGGGGGAGAGCGGATAGGGGGAGAGTGACTTTTGAGTCGACTCAAAAGTCATCTGAATACCTGCACGCATGGCAATGGTGCGGGGCAAGGGGGAGAGCGGATAGGGGGAGAGTGACTTTTGAGTCGACTCAAAAGTCATCTGAATACCTGCACGCATGGCAATGGTGCGGGGCAAGGGGGAGAGCGGATAGGGGGAGAGTGACTTTTGAGTCGACTCAAAAGTCATCTGAATACCTGCACGCATGGCAATGGTGCGGGGCAAGGGGGAGAGCGGATAGGGGGAGAGTGACTTTTGAGTCGACTCAAAAGTCATCTGAATACCTGCACGCATGGCAATGGTGCAGGGCAAGGGGGAGAGCGGATAGGGGGAGAGTGACTTTTGAGTCGACTCAAAAGTCATCTGAATACCTGCACGCATGGCAATGGTGCAGGGCAAGGGGGAGAGCGGATAGGGGGAGAGTGACTTTTGAGTCGACTCAAAAGTCATCTGAATACCTGCACGCATGGCAATGGTGCGGGGCAAGGGGGAGAGCGGATAGGGGGAGAGTGACTTTTGAGTCGACTCAAAAGTCATCTGAATACCTGCACGCATGGCAATGGTGCAGGGCAAGGGGGAGAGCGGATAGGGGGAGAGTGACTTTTGAGTCGACTCAAAAGTCATCTGAATACCTGCACGCATGGCAATGGTGCAGGGCAAGGGGGAGAGCGGATAGGGGGAGAGTGACTTTTGAGTCGACTCAAAAGTCATCTGAATACCTGCACGCATGGCAATGGTGCGGGGCAAGGGGGAGAGCGGATAGGGGGAGAGTGACTTTTGAGTCGACTCAAAAGTCATCTGAATACCTGCACGCATGGCAATGGTGCGGGGCAAGGGGGAGAGCGGATAGGGGGAGAGTGACTTTTGAGTCGACTCAAAAGTCATCTGAATACCTGCACGCATGGCAATGGGGCGGGGCAAGGGGGAGAGCGGATAGGGGGAGAGTGACTTTTGAGTCGACTCAAAAGTCATCTGAATACCTGCACGCATGGCAATGGTGCGGGGCAAGGGGGAGAGCGGATAGGGGGAGAGTGACTTTTGAGTCGACTCAAAAGTCATCTGAATACCTGCACGCATGGCAATGGTGCGGGGCAAGGGGGAGAGCGGATAGGGGGAGAGTGACTTTTGAGTCGACTCAAAAGTCATCTGAATACCTGCACGCATGGCAATGGTGCGGGGCAAGGGGAGAGCGGATAGGGGGAGAGTGACTTTTGAGTCGACTCAAAAGTCATCTGAATACCTGCACGCATGGCAATGGTGCAGGGCAAGGGGGAGAGCGGATAGGGGGAGAGTGACTTTTGAGTCGACTCAAAAGTCATCTGAATACCTGCACGCATGGCAATGGTGCAGGGCAAGGGGGAGAGCGGATAGGGGGAGAGTGACTTTTGAGTCGACTCAAAAGTCATCTGAATACCTGCACGCATGGCAATGGTGCGGGGCAAGGGGGAGAGCGGATAGGGGGAGAGTGACTTTTGAGTCGACTCAAAAGTCATCTGAATACCTGCACGCATGGCAATGGTGCAGGGCAAGGGGGAGAGCGGATAGGGGGAGAGTGACTTTTGAGTCGACTCAAAAGTCATCTGAATACCTGCACGCATGGCAATGGTGCAGGGCAAGGGGGAGAGCGGATAGGGGGAGAGTGACTTTTGAGTCGACTCAAAAGTCATCTGAATACCTGCACGCATGGCAATGGTGCAGGGCAAGGGGGAGAGCGGATAGGGGGAGAGTGGGAGTAAGAAAGAAGTATGGGGAGGGGGCGCGAGACATATCTAGACTGATTGCCTTGCATTGAGTGGCACATATACTGTTAACCATAAACCGTGCTGTTCGAATACACTTATTGCAATATGCATCGTGCATACACCATCTTCATTATTTTAGGGGATTTCATGCTGCATTCATGCTAACAACCCACATGTTTTCGATGTCAGCAAACACATTCCTGGGGCAATGTGTCCATGCACCCATGTTTACATGAATACAGTGCTCATGCACCCATGTTTACATGAATACAGTGCCACATCACATCATGCATACACGAAACCTGCATCACACCGTTGCCCAAGTCCTCAATGTCAAACACGTTCATGGGGCACTGTGGTCATTGCAACACAGTGCATTTATCCACCACCACCAACCACCACCCATCACCCACCACCCACCACCCACCACCCATCCTCACCATTCCCCAAGTCCTCAATGTCAAACACGTTCATGGGGCACTTTGCCACCAGCTGCTCCGCCATCTCGCCCTCCACTGCCTTGCGGAACACCACCTGCCAGGGGGAAGGGGGAGGGGGAGGGGGAGGGGGAGGGGGAGGGGGAGGGGGAGGGGGAGGGGGAGGGGGAGGGGGAGGGGGAGGGGGAGGGGACAGTGAGAGAATGCAAGCAGGAGACTAGTGGTGTCTCCCCCTCCACTGCCTTGCGGAACACCACCTACCATGGGCGGATGGAGAGGGGGACGGGGGAAGGGGCGGGGGAAGGACAGATGCACAGACGGGAAGGGAGAGGGAGAGGCAGGAGGTTATCCTATACCTATACCCTGCATGTATGCAAACTGCAGCCTATATCAATGAAAGGACCGTTCGAGGGAGAGGCAGGAGGGTATCCTTGGCCCGGCCATCAGCCCTTCCTTTGGCCTGCTGAAAAACGTGTGTGCGATGAGAGGAGCCAAGCGCGCGCATGTGACTATTGAGTCGACTCGAAACAGGCATAAGGACTCACCTCTGGCAGCATGGTGCTTTTGAGAATTCTCAAAAACATCCTGCAGAGGAACCACGCGCGCACGTGTGACTATTGAGTCGACTCACCTCTGGAAGCATGCGGTAGGAGGCAGTAGCAACAGGCGACCACTTGGCGTGCGTGACTTTTGAGTGGACTCAAAAGCCACGCTCAAGGCTCCCGCCCCATGAGAACTCACCTCTGGTAGCATGCGATAGGAGGCAGTAGCAACAGGTGACCACTTGGCGTGCGTGCGGCCGATGCCCTTCACTGCATGCGCCTCCAACTCTATGGCCTGGTGGATGGGCACACACACACGCACACACACGCACACACACGCACACACACGCACACACACGCACACACACACACCAGAAGTCACACGTGAGGAACAACAAGGCTTCATCTGCGTTGCCCTGCCTAAATCTGCCTCCTCCCATGCCCTTCACTGCATGTGCTTCCAGCTCGATGGCCTGGTGGGTGGGCACAAAAAACACATGCCGTACGTCAGAAACAAGAGTGCTGCATTCACTTTTGAAAAAATCCATAACGAAGGTATCTAGCAGAAACAATGTACAGTGAACTGCACTGCACTATACTACACTGCACTGCACTGCACCGTCCCACGCACCTGGTCGGGTTGCAGCCTGGCGACGGTGATGTCAGTGTAGGTGGGGGTGGGGCCACGCATGTCAAACACATGGCATGGCATGCACTGCAGTGCACTCAAAAGTGGTTCAACGTAGGAACTGCACTATATCACGCACCTGCCTGGGTTGCAGCCTAGCAAGCGTGATGTCAGGGTAGGTGGGGGCGGGGGGGGCGTGTCACACACACAGCATGCACTGCACTGCACCACACTGCACTGCACCTCACCACACTGCACTGCACTACATCACACACACCTGTCCCGGTCGCAGCCTAGCAAGCGTGATATCAGGGTAGGTGGGGGCGGGCGGGCGAGTGGCGAAGTCATGCAATTCAATCTGCGGGCGACCAAAGGACGTGAACTTGGTGCTGCGATCAGGGGGGTACGTGCTGCCGTTGGGTTGCCACACCAGGTGCTTCGACTGCACCGTGCCTGGGGGTGAGATGGAGCGGAGGAGGGGAAGGGGATAAGGGAACAAAGGGCCATTGGGCAAGCATCTCAGCATTCCGCAGCGAAAACTTGGTGGCGCCAATATCTCAGTGAACTTGGTGGCGCGCTCTGGCAGATTGGTGCAGGGGGGGTGGGAGGAGTAAAAAGGGAATTGTAAAGGAGCAGGGTGCAAAGGAGCGAGGAACTAAGGGAGAGGAGGCAGAGTACATCGAAATAGGTGGTGTGCATCGGACGGAGCTCAAAATTGGTAGAATAGGAAGCTGCAAGAAGGATGTGTTTCAAAAGGGAGGGTGTGTTTCCATCCAACAAGGAGGACCTACAGGGAGAGTGGAAAGGGAGCCAGGCAAAGAAGCACCTTGGAAGATGGTAAAGTGTTGTGCCACACACACTCCCCATTGAATGCGTGCCATGACAGTGTGCCGCAGCAGCGTGACGTAACAGCCGTACCGTGTCTGGAGCCATCAGTGGGCGGGTTGCGCGTGCACTTGTAGTCGAGCTTGAAGACGATGGTGTTGCTCTCACTCGCCATGCCGTCCTCTGCCACCACATGCCATGCCATGCCATGGCACCGTGTGATGTGATGATGTGATGTGATGTGACGTGATGTGATGTGACGTGACGTGATGGGATGGGATGGGATGGGATGGGATGGGATGGGATGGGATGGGATGGGATGGGATGGGATGGGATGGGATGGGATGGGATGGGATGGGATGGGATGGGATGGGATGGGATGGGATGGGATGGGATGGGATGGGGTGGGATGGGATGGGATGGGGTGGGATGGGATGTGATGGGATGGGATGGGATGGGATGGGATGGGATGGGATGGGATGGGATGGGATGGGATGGGATGGGATGGGATGGGATGGGGTGGGATGGGATGGGATGGGGTGGGATGGGATGTGATGGGATGGGATGGGATGGGATGGGATGGGATGGGATGGGATGGGATGGGATGGGATGGGATGGGATGGGATGGGATGGGGTGGGATGGGATGTGATGGGATGCGATGCGATGTGATGTGATGTGATGTGATGTGATGCGATGCGATGCCATGCGAAGTGAGACGTGTGAGGCAATGACAGGGGAGGTGAGGGGACGGGATGTGGCGATGAAACTTCGACGAGAAGAAATGGGTGCAAGCAATAGCTTGCACCCAAGGTGACTTTTGAGTCGACTCAAAAAGCACCCACCCAGCATGGTCAACCGGGAGCAGTAGCATCACTTTTTGAGAATCCTGAGAATCCGAAAGAATGGAACCAGCCCAGGGCTCCCCACCAGAATTTTGGTTGAAGAGTGTAGCTGAGAGAAGCACCTAAAACCACCTAAGACAAACCAGGAAATCCACCTGTAGGAATCACCTGAGCGTCCACCTGGGAGTCACCTGAGGGGAAGTCGAAGAGGCGCGGGTCGACGGCTAACGGCACGAGGCCAAGGCGATGGGAGAGCACCTCGTCCTGCACTAGCGAGGTGTTGTTGGCCATGAACACCTTCTCTATCGCCATTGTGGGTACCTGTGGGGGGGACAGGGAGGACAGTAGAGAGGGTGTGGGACAACCGGCACACAGGGAAAACGCTGATCTTAGCAGCACGCTAAACCCAGAAACGAGCGTGCTGACCTCAACAACGAGTGTGCTGACCTCGGCAATGAGTATTCGGCGGAAGGCGTTGGCGAGAGCAGCGTCAATGCCGATGAGGTCAAACACGAGATCGTGGCCGTCCGCTGACTGCGACACGATCTCGACCTTCAATTCCCGTCTGAAGCGCTCCAGAGTCATGCTGTTGTCCACTCCCAGTGCGGCGAACGCGCCTGAATACTGCAGTGAGTGCGTCTGTCGTAAAAGAGGGGGCGAAGGGGACGAGGTAGTGGTAGAGAATGGGGGGGACATGGGGTGAAACACCCCACTTTGCATCGCTTCTGCCTCCAGGGTCATGCTGTTGTCCACTCCCAGTGCAGCGTAGGCCCCTGAATACTGCAGCGCGTGGGTCTGTGTTGGAGGGGAGGATGGGGGGGGGGGAAGATGGAAAGGGAAGGTGGTGCTGCTCCCATCTGAGGTGCTCCAGGGTCATGCTGCTGTTCACTCCCAGGGCGGCGAAGGGGAGGAGAAAGTGGTGGGGAATGGGTGGTGATCGCTCGGCTCTGTACCCATCTAAACCGCTCCAGCCTGCAGGCGCTCAGCTGTTGCCATCACCAACGCAGCAACGCACCTTAGTGGTTTGACGAGCGCATTTGCACTGGGAGAGGGACGAGGGAGAAGGGGAGAGAGTTGACGGATGATTGGAACGGGGGAAGAGGTGGTGGAGAGGGGGAAGGGGGAGGATGAGGACGGAGGCGGAAGGGGGAGGCGGAAGTGGGAGGCGGAAGGGGGAGGCGGAAGTGGGAGGCGGAAGGGGGAGGCGGAAAGGGGGTGCACTGCGCTGACCACCCCCCACTGCTCACTGTAATGCCCACAGCCCTCCACTCCCACCTAGAGCTCTTGAGAGAAGTCAAAGCAAACTCACAAACCCCACACTGCACTGCACTGCACTGCACTGCACTGCACTGCACTGCAGCGATGCGCAAGCACGCGGCTCGCCTCACTCCCAGCAAGCAAAGCGCACCTGCTGCTGCGTCACTGCGTGAGACTGTATGCAAGCAGTGCTCAGTAATCAGTGCGCAGTGCTCAATGCTCACTTCCAGCGCGTCCCTCTGCGCCATCTTGCCTGCCCGCTGCGCCACAGTGTCAAGACCCTAAACCCTGACAGGAAACCAGAAACCCGGAAACCCTGACCCAGGGCAAAACCCGGAACCCTTGGATCTGCTCTGTTGCCATCGACCTTCCCAAGGAATCCCGAAAATTTGTGCGCCTTCCTCGATCGTCTAAACCCTCCGCAGAAGCACTTTCCCCGTTTTTCGTCAATGCACTTTCAAGAGTTGTTCCCCTTCAGGCGCGCTTCTATTCCGCTTTCGCGCCACTACTGCGCCTTCCACGCGAATCTTTCCCTCGTCACCCACGTCCCTCCCCCTTTCCCCCACCCGCCGCGCACCTGCTTCGGCGCATCCATGTCGCAGATCACGCGCGAGCGGAGCTCCTCCAGGTGCGGCGGAAGGCTTCCGTTCCCCCCTTCCCCCTGCTGCTGCGCCTTCTTCTTCTTCTTCCCCTTCCGCGCCTCCTGCCCGCGGCTCCCCGCGCCCGCGCCGCTCGTTTCCATCGGCTCCGCCGCGGACTCGTCGACGTCCTTCCCCGGCATCGCTCCGCTAGTGCGCGCAAGGGGCAGCGCGGGGGAGAAGTCCCGGGTGGTGGAGAAGGGTGGCGAGAGGATCTAGCGACAGTGAAAGCTTGCGCGGAGAGGGGAGGTGGGAAGGTTGCAAGCGTCGGAAGAGAATACCAGCGCTCGGAGCGGGCCCGTTCGGATTGAACCGTGTTGAACCGTGTTGAACCCGGAAGGTTGCTGGGAATGGTGTTCAGTCTACTTCCGAAAAGCTTCAGAAAGATGGAGATGTAACGGCGCCAGTACTGCCAGTGCTCGGTCTATGGAGGAAATTTAATCTCCAACAGAAGAGTCACAAAGAAAACTGGGCGAGCTATGAGGGTGGGGAGAACAGCGGGGATGTTTCGCGCTCAAACGCAGCACACAAACTCAGAGTTACCAGCTTTCTCGCTCACATCGCTTAAAAGTTTCGTGGTGGGGGTTTTGCTCTGTGACGAGGGGGTTCGGCTGGGACTCAAGCCGAACACGCCAGCAATTTTCCGAACCAGGTTGCTGGTGACATCTGAGTTTCCGAACCTCAAAATTGGTAACCTGTGTGCTGCGAAACAGCTGGTCGCATTTGCGAACTTGAAACGGAGCATGGTGAGCGAAACGGCTACAGTCGGACCCAGGAAAAAAAGGGCTCCGTCTTTCTGACATCAACCGCAGGTCTTGGAAATTCTAAAATGCTAGGCAATGCACTGTCGGAGACGTAGTTATTATGGTGGGTTAGCTGTTCGAATAGAACTCCACGGAGACGAGCCGATTAGACATTACCTCTGTGATTCGGCACCCGACGGATGTAGCTTGGGACTCGCCAATTATCGTCACAGTCGCCAAAATTCGTCAGTGTCGCCAGCAGTCGCAAACAGTCGCCGCCGGCGGTGCTTCTCTTCTCATGGCGGCCAACTTCTGGCAGTCCTCCCACAGGTGCGACGTCCGTGCGACATCGCATGACCAGCAAGCAGCTATTGGACCCGGGCGCAGTGGCGCGCTTGCTGGATGTAGAGGACGACCGCATGGGCCTCTCGCCCTCAGACGTGCGCCTCAGACGTGCGCCTCAGACGTGCGCCTCAGACGTGCGCCTCTGACATGTATACTTTTTTGCCATGTCTTCCCTGCTTCCCCTTCCCCTTACCCTAAGGAAGCAAGCAGCTACTACACCCGGGAGCAATAACGCGGCTGCTGGTTCGCATTACCCCTCTCCCACTTCCCCCTCTTCTTCCCTCCCCCCAGCAAGCAGCTACTAGACCCAGGCGCAGTGGCGCGCTTGCTACACGCGGAAGACGACCGCATGGGCCTCTCGCCCTCGGATGTGCGCCTGGTCAAGCTGCACATGTGTGACCGTACGTCTGTAGTCGCCTAGTACTTGTATACTTCTTCTCGTGAGTTTGTGATTTCTGCGTTCATTCACCCCATGCCACCTGTGCTCCTCCATTCCCTCGTTTCTTCGTTGCGTCCTCTCCCCTCTCTTTCCCCCCACGTCCCGTTTCCCCGTTCGTCTCTGCATCTCTCCATCCCGTTTCCCCGTTGACAGACCTAGCAGTCTTGGCTCACCGCCTCAACCTCCGCCAGAGGCAAGCACACCACCTCCCACCGCCTCGCACTGTATCACACCGCCTTGCACCGTATCGCAGCGTTTCCCTGACAGTTTCATTTCCTGCCTTGTGCCAGTCTATGGGGGGGAAGGTGAGTGACCGAGTGCCACTGTCACATGGTGTCACCATCAACCATAGCCCTCCCTCACACCTCTTGCCCTCCCTCAATCGTCCATCCCCACCTCACGCCCCCTCCACATCTCACCCTGCCCCCTTCAATCCCTGCCCCCTTCACGCCCTGCCTTCTCTTGTTGCCTATCAGGGTTGTGGCGACAGCCATTGCCTACTTCCGCCGCGTCTATGTCAAGTGAGGAATGGGCAGTGCACGCTGTATGATGGGGTGATGAGGTGATGGGGCGATGGGGTGATGGGGTGATGGGATGCTGATGGTGTGATGAGACAAGGGGACCATATGTGGCAGGGTCGTGGCGACAGCCATCGCCTACTTCCGCCGCGTCTATGTCAAGTGAGTGGTGATTTTTGAGAATTCTCTCATCTCTCAGCCGTGAGCAGAGCGCGCTGAGTGATGAGATGATGGGGTGAGACAAGGGGACCATGTGTGGAGCAGAGCAACCCCCCCCCCCCCCCCCCCCCCCCCCTGGTGAGGAGGAATTCATTCGTCGGCGTGGACCCGCGGCTGGCCGCACCAGCAGCACCCAAGAACCCCCCTGCCCCATCCTCCCTACTGCGCACCCACCCCACTTCCCCCCGCCCCCTGTTCCTTGGCTTAACCCCACTCGTGTGAGCAAGGAGGCTGTTTGCCGAGGTGGACCCGGCGGCTGGCAGCACCAACAGCGCTCATGACTCCCCCTGCCCCATCCTTCCCTGCTGCGCATCCCCCCCTTTCCACTCCCCCTTGCCTCTCCCCTGTGAGCAGGAAGTCGTTTGCCGAGGTGGATCCACGCCTGGCAGCACTCAAGTCTTCCCCTGCCCCATCCCTTCTGCTGCGCATCCCCCTCTTTTTTACCCCCTCTCTCCCCCCCTGTGAGCAGGAAGTCATTCGCGGAGGTGGATCCACGGTTGGCAGCGCCGGCAGCGCTGTACGTGGCGGCCAAGGCGGAGGAGTGTACCGTGCAGGCAGTGAAGCTGGTGCATCGGATGAAGAGCCATGCTTGTGAGACAGAGAGACAAGGGGAGTAGAGAGGAGTGAAGAGGAGTGCATAGGAGTGCACTGTGCAGGCTGTGAAGCTGGTGCACCGCATGAAGAGCCACGCCTGTGAGGCTGTGCTTGTAAGACGAGAGAGGGGACTGGGGCATCCGCGGTTGGCAGCGCTGTACGTTGCAGCCAAGGCGGAGGAGTGCACCGTGCAGGCTGTGAAGCTGGTGCATCGGATGAAGAGCCACGCTTGTGAGATGAGAGGAGAGGAAAGGCACGTGTGTGTGGAAGACAGAGAGGGCATGTGGGATAGGGCTGCACGCTTGTGCTGTGCATGTCACGTTCTTTGCAATTAGGGTTCTTGAAATTGTTATGCCTGTTGAAGAATCCGCATGTGTGCATGTGCATACAAGTGTGCGTGCGCAGGCATGTGCGGGCATGGCGCCATGGGCTACGAGGTGAAGGACATACTAGCCATGGAGATGCGACTGCTCATCTGCCGTTGATGATAAATACCGTGCGATCCCTGCCCTGTGTGTGCATGCGTGCGTGTGTGCATGTGTGTGTGTGCAGGCATGTGCGGCCATGGTGCAATGGGCTACGAGGTGAAGGACATACTGGCCATGTAGATGCGCCTTTTGATTTTGATGTTAACCAATGTGGTATGTGTGTGCGCCCTCTCTGTGCATGTGTATGTGCATCCACTGCAGGCATGTGCGGCCATGGCGCCATGGGCTATGAGGTGAAGGACATACTAGCCATGGAGATGCGACTGCTGCAGGCGCTCTCCTTCAACCTCATCGTCTTCCACCCCTACCGTCCCCTCACCACGTGTGTATAGCTCCACCCCTACCACCCGCTCACCACGCATATCCCTCCACCTTTGACAAGTCTCGAAAGTGATCTGCTCCCACGCTCTGCTCTCTGCTGCCCTCTCAATCTCTCGTTTTCTCCTGTTCTTTCTCTCTCTGCCTTCCGTCTGCTGGCGCCGCACCCTTTCCCGTCACTTCTCGTCCTCTTGTCGCCTCTATTCCTCCGCTCCCTTGTGATTGACATGGGGCACGGGTGTTGATTTTGTGGCAGGTACTTGGAAGATGTCAGCAGGGCGCTCAACCTCTCTGCTAATGTGAAGGAGGACTTTGCTCAGATGGCCTGGTGGGTGCCACAGCCGTCCGCGTGTGAGTGGCCCACACCGGCTCTGTGAAGTCCGTGCAAATGCCTCACCACCGGCTTGTGTCCCTGCCCCTTGCCACGCGCCTCATTCTCTCGCGCTCTCTTGCTTCCACCTCATTTCTGTCAGCACGCCTCTCAATCCCTCCTCTCCCTCCCCTTCCCCCCCCTCCACCTCCCCATCCCCCGCTCCTCCCCTCCCCACTCTACCCCTACCCCTAGGTCAATGGTGAACGACTCATTCGAGATGGATCTATCACTGTGCCACCCGCCCTGCCCACATGCACCTCATCCTGCCCGCAACTCTCAAACCTAACCCCCCTTCTCCCGTCGCCCTTAGGTCAATGGTGAACGATTCATTTCAAGACGGACCTATCGCTATGCCACCCACCATTTATCATCGTCCTTGCATGCATCCACCTCGTTGCCCTCATGCGCAACCTGCCATGCCCGCATGCACCCATGCACCCACTTCCTTCCCCTGCTCGCAGGTCAATGGTAAATGACTCGCTCAAGACGGACCTATCGCTGTGCCACCCGCCCTTCATCATCGCCCTTGCATGCATCCACCTCGTTGCCCTCATGCGCAACCTGCCATGCCCTCATGCACCCATGTGCCCCTCCCTATCCTCCGGCCCTTAGGTCAATGCTGAATGATTCATTCAAGACGGACCTATCGCTGTGCCACCCGCCCTTCATCATCGCCCTTGCATGCATCCACCTCGTTGCTCTCATGCGCCACCTGCCCCTCCTGCCCTGGCTCGAGGGGCTACGTGTTGACATGCACCGGGTAGGTACAGTGATGGGGGTTAGGGAGGTGGGTCTTAGGGGCGTGGTGGTTCAGGCTTCTGGTCATGCATGGGTGCAGTGGTATCACTGGTGGTGTGCATGGGTGCAGTGGTATCACTGGTGGTGTGCATGGGTGCAGTGGTATCACTGGTGGTGTGCATGGGTGCAGTGGTATCACTGGTGGTGTGCATGGGTGCAGTGGTATCACTGGAGGTGTGCATGGGTGCAGTGGTATCACTGGTGGTGTGCATGGGAGGGCTCTCATGCGCCACCCGCCCCTCCTGCCCTGGCTCGAGGGGCTACGTGTTGACATGCACCGGGTAGGGTCGTTGAGGGGCTTTGGCACATCACTCCCTCCCCACATTACCCCAACACCCATCATCACCCACAATGCAGGTGAGGGCAGTGTCAACAGTGCTCTTGGACCTGTATGAGGAGTCCTCGTCGCCCCTTTCCCTTGTCACGTCAACCGCTCACCTGTTACCCTCTCCCCCCATCACCCTCTCATCAGGTGAGGGCAGTGTCAACAGCGCTCTTGGACCTGTATGAGGAGTTCTCATCGCTCACAGAGGATCAGATCTCAGCTGCTGTCGGCAAACTGCCCATGCGCCTGCCCTAGCTGCCCGTGCGCCTGCCCTAGCTGCCCGTGCGCCTGCCCTGGCTGCCCGTGCGCCTGCCCTAGCTGCCCATGCATCTACCCTAGTTGCCCGTGCGCCTGCCGTAACTGCTCTTGCACCTGTTCAGCTGCCCCACACCTGCCGTAACTGCCGGGGCACTGGTGTGACTGCTGATGCACCTGCAACTGCACCCATAGACCACATCTGCCCATTGGCCCCCCACTGTATGCAGCTTGCTACACAATCGTTTTCTACAGCCGTGCGAAATGTTGTCCTCGCTCCGCACAAGTCGAACCCATTCATTTGCTGCTACAGGGCTGGCTGTCCTTGCCTTTTGGAATATATCTCTTTGCTTTCTGCTGATGTAAATAAACGTATGTATTCAGAGTGAAGAAGAGCCTCGCTCTTGTAGTTGTGCTCGTTATAATCGGAGAGATTTCTCAAAATTTGATGAAAGTCACTACTATTGCACTGGTTACAGAGTGACTCAATAGGCTAGATAGAGATTCTATCACATACCAGTCAGATTTCCGCCTAGATACATACAAGCTTGCAAGATGGATCGGAAAAAAATAAGGTGGGTGAGAGAAGCAGCGGGCTTGATGCGCCTCAGAGTCGGGTAGAATAGAATTCTTCTCCTTTCCGACGCCTGAGGCGACTCAAGCTCGCCCTAAACAGTCTCGAAGAGTCCTCGCCTCGCCTCGCCAACGATCGTTAGCAGAGAAAAGCTGTCGCCAGGCCTTTGTTGTCGCGAGGGTAACGCTGTAACACTGTAGGTTTCTTATCGCACGGACAGCACGGGACGCTGATAACCAATAATGTCCACGCGCCCGGTCTTGGACGCGTCGCCGCGATGGTCGCCGCGACAAGCGCCAGCGTCATGCGCGCCGCGCGCAACTTCGTCTACCGGACGAACCTTCTGCGAAGCCTCCTTTTGAGCCGCCTGCCTCTCCTCCTCCTGCCTCAGCGACCGCTCGCGCCGCCAGGTGCGGAAGGTGCGGACAACGCTGCGGGGACTCGCGGGTTGCGCGGGGAAGCCTAGGAGGGGCGCGAACCAAGGGTGCGCCAGCACCTCGTCCGCGGTCGGGCGCATGTGCGGGAGCGGCGACACCATCCAGCGAATCAAATCCTTCGCCACCTCCGAAACCTTTCGCCAGCATGGTAACTCCCAGTCGACCGCGTCGTCGAGGCATCGCGAGCGGTGGAAAGCGGGCCACGTGCCGGACAGCATCGCGTAGAGCGTCACGCCGAGGCTGAAGATGTCCGCTGATTGGTCGTACGCTTTATTAGCCAGCACCTCGGGCGCCTCGTACGGGAAGCTCCCCGCGTAGCCAACCACGCGCTGTCCCGGTCGCAGCGTGAGAGAGAGGCCAAAGTCCGCGAGCTTCGCGGAGGGCATGGAGGCGGAAGCGGAGAAGGCGGAGGGAGAAGCGGGGGGGGAGACGGAGCGCGATCGCGCGCGGAGCGGGTTGAGCTGGAGCGAGGTAAAGGGGTGCTTGGGCGCGGCGGTGGGGCTCGCAGTGCGTGTATCGGCGGCGGATGCGGCGGCGGTTCCGGGAACGAGGAGGATATTTTCGGGCTTGATGTCGCGATGGATGACGCCGTTGTCGTGGCACTGCTTCACGCCACGTGTCACTTCGAGAAACAGCCTCTGGGCTTCCATTTCAGGCAAGAGACCTTTCTTCTGGATCAGGTTCAACAAATCCCCGCCATTGCAATACTCCATAATAACATAAACGCTCTCCTCGTCCTCGTAGATCCCTTGTAGCGAAACCACGTTGCGGTTACCCGAGAGCGTCGCCATGACTTCGATTTCGCGAACGGCGGCTTTAACCCCCTTTTCGCCGAGGCCGGCGAGGCTGATGTGCTTGCACGCGAAGAGGCGTCCCGTGTCGCGCTCCTCGCAGCGCCACACGGTGCCGTACTGCCCCTCGCCCAGCATGTCGATCAGCTCGTACCGCGCGGACAGCTCGCTCGCGGGGAGCACTTCGAGAGTTTCGCGATCCATGGCGATTGCCTGTGCGAGTGTGTGCGTGCGCGTATGGAGGGATGGTAGGCGTGGCCGGTGTGTCGCGGAGGTGTGCGAGTTTTTGTACGTGGAGGGTATGCTAATTCTGGTGGATTGTCGCGCGAGAGAAGTCAAAGGTAAGGGCTCGATCAGCTTCAGCTGTCTGAAAACGATGCAGCTATTTTGCCAAACAAGTCGCGTTGATAGACGTTTCTCGGTGCCGCAAGCTATCGAGCTAAACAACCAAACAATAATGAGGTCGGGTGGATTGATGGGAAACGGAAGCATTGCATCTGTCTATTCGTAGTAACGGTGCTGCTGGGCGGTGCGAGAGCAGGGTGGGTATGGCATTGGGGTTGGGTAGGGGAGTGGGGTGGGTGAGGAGGAGGGGGGTCACCCACCTAGCCAAGCCCGATTGCACGATTTGGAATGTAGCGGCTGGGTGTGTTTGAAAATAGCGCAGCGCACCCCTGCGAGGCGAGACCCTGAGCTCAGCGCCTCGGGAAGCAGCCCGGGGAAACACCAGGCGCAGTCGTTCAGGCAAATCTGGTTCAAAAACCGGCGACTGGAGGGAGAAACGTCGGTGGGCAGGGGGAAACGGGAGGGGGTGGAGGGGGAGGGATGGGGGAGAAACCACGGCGTGGCGCAGCTGTTGAAACGCGTTTCCTGTCTCCCCCTTGTGCTTGGTCAACAGCGCGCTTTCCGCCAGATGTTGAAATGAAAGCTGGCTTGGGGAAATTGTGAACGCGGGGAGAGGAGAGCATGATGCTTCTGGTCGGTGGCATGGCGAAGCAGTGGAGACGACTGCTGCTACACGTTCTGCTTGAACCAATCGACGATCACCGAAGCGTGGATGACAGCTCATAGTTGACAAATTCAAGGCGCATGGTGATGCCATTCGCGCACTCAGTCCGCCCGTCAAACCAGCTTACTCGCGGCGCGGGTCACGCACGGAAAGGCACAGAACAGTACCGAGGCAGGAAGCTTCTTTTCGGAAACCAGGAGCAGCAAAATACTACCACGCTATTGGCTCGTCTCGGTGTGATTTTGACCCGCGTCAACTCTCACTTTCGCACAACTACGTCTCTTGTTTTCGTTACGCTGACTCGGTCAAAGAACGTTGTAGGTGTGTACAGAACGTTGTAAGAACGTTGTAATGTGTGGTGCTGCAGCCACGCTATGCTTCGGTTGGGCTGGTCGGTCGGTCGGTGTACGATACGATTCGGTGTACTTGCTTTTGTGGTGTGGGTGGGAGTGGCCAATCACCCTACTCAAAGAAGGAAACAAATGAACTCATCAATGAAACGAGCCTCTCAACAAAACGACACGACGGCAGGTGGCAACGGAGCCCCACTTGGCCCTTTGGTTGAACCACGGAGAGGTCACCTCGCTAGTGGTTCGGTACCCACATATCACGCTTTTTACAGTATACTTAGCCAAAAAATAGGTTTACTAGTTGGCTTTTATGCGTCTGATTACTTCTCGTGATAACGTGAGCATAAACGCAGGTGGAAATGGAGGTAGAGCCCCCGCTATGGCTCTTGATGTCAGATTGAGAATGGCACGGGCATGGACTAAGAGATTCAGTGATAGGGCTACATGCTGAGGCCTTCAACATCCTTGATATAGTGTCATTGAAATATATAGTAACGATCTTGTTTGTATGTTGTATAACAGTATCAGTTATAGAACCCGCCGATGTGTGGGTTGACCGCATGTAAAAGATACATGCCCTTAATAATCTAGCTCCATTTATTTAGTTATTTGTATGCGTTGGAGGCAGCTTGCACGAAGCAGAACGCATTCTCTTCTCAGCTTGGGGCCGCCTCGCCTGTAAAGAATATATCGGCAGTGTCCCTCCCATCCATCACAACCAGCAGAGCTCTAACCAGACCGCCTTCTGTACAGCTCTCATCTCGTGTCTGTCGTGCGGCCTTGGTCATACCGACATGCACGGAACGAACATCCCTCGTTGCAACTGCCCGCGAATGCTGCCCAGAAACTTGAACGCCGACACTTGCACGTAATAGTTGGCGGGGTTTAAATCGAGCTGCTTCATAACGGTCGAAACCGTCTGCCCGTTGCTCGCCTTGGCGGAATCCGCCTGCTTTATCCACCCTACCGATTTGTACGTGATGCCATCGGCGCGCAGTGCGATTGTGGGCGTGCCAGGAATGGTCAGAATAGCGTCGCCGGTTGCTCCCCCGGGGCCGTAGTTGAGAGTTTTGAAAAGCGGAAAGTAGAGGTCGTTTGAGGTGAGCTCGAATTTGATGTCCGTGCCCTTGGTGCTCCTGTAAGGGGGGTAGAGGGAGAGAGAGGAAGGGGTGTCAGCATAGGGTGCGGCGTGCCATACCGCTTGTTTTTTTCCCGCAAGTCTGGTTTCGTTTTTACCCGAGGTTTAACAAGAGGGGTAGGGAAATATAAGATAGAACGCGATTATCGCAGGGAAATGAAAGAGGTTGAAAAGTGCAACGTGTAGTGTAGAGCAGGCTCTTACGAGTATACTGTGATCTTCAATGTACCGTCCGCCATTTGCGTTGTATCGGCCTTCTTCTTGTCGCCTCGCATCGTCGCCTGAATAACGCCTGCGCAATCCAGTAGGTTCGACAACCACCAGTTAGAACACGCAAACAATAAGAGAACGGGCGCGCATAAAACTAGAACATTGACAAAAACAAAGACAAACACAGAAGACATCAATAGCTAGCACTAGCAAGTCATCTATATCGGACCTCAAAATGTCACCATATTTGGAAAGCATTGCGGGGTAAGACTGTCGCAGAACTTACTGACGACGGGGTTGCTAAATATCGCAGGGCATCGAACGAGCCACGATTGCGATAGAGGGACGGTTGCTGACAGGAGTAGTAGAACCGCAAACGAGCCTGTGCCTCGAGAGGGGTGGAAAGAAGTGAGGAGGGAAATGTAACAGGGAGGAAGAGGGGAATGAGAATGGTTTCGTACGTCAAGGTCGGAACTATCTCGGCTCGGTGTTGTTCGCAGGATCACTGAAGCCAGGCATCGAGAGACTAGGGAAAGGAAGACGCACCTATACGACGGTCCATTAGAACTGAGATGAGGCGGATGAGGAACGAAAACGAATGACACAGGTACTCGATGATTTCGACAAATTTATTTCGGTCGCTAATGTGCGAAGTAAGCTGGACAAATATGGTGGAGTATGCACAGAGCTGTCGACCAGCTACGAATGATCCAGAGAACTTGAGATTGAGTAGGTTATCAGACGAATTATAAAGAAAAGAGTGGGAAGCCATTTTGAGTTAGGTCTGGTGATGTGCAGCCATCATGCGCAAGAGAGCCGACAGTTCTTTGATTCCCACTTCAATTTCAACGAACCGCGCATTTTGTGGATGAGAGCACAGAGGCGGGACATCACGAGCCGCGCCCTCACAGCTCCACGTAACCCCCCGGTCGGGATATTGCGAAAGGCGAAAGCCGTGTGCGAAGGTTGACGACTATACATTTGGCATGGTGGTCGCCGACAGGACCTGTACCTAAACGCAGACAGACACGAAATCGCAGAGGTGTCGCACACATGCAAAAAGGGTGGGGCGAGCATCAGAGATTCGGAGCACGACGAGATTGCCCCAGCACAAACGACAGGCGTTTCTGACAACAGCCTGCTTTTCATACTATAAGATAATGCCTTTCACGAGTACTGTACATGACGATTTATAGCAGTTAGTTCAGCATGCCCATAGAAATTGTGGAAGCAATAATAGCGTATGGAAAAATAAGCAACTGGAAAAGGGCCTCAGTAACAACTGTGGCTTTTCAAATTTGCTTGAAAGATCAGTATACGCTCGATGCTCGATGCATTGGATTACAAATATTGCATTCGCGCATGATTGAAATGGAAATGCGAATGGAAATGCAAACACATTTAATTTTTGCGCGTTAAAATTTTGTGGTTGTCACGTGTGGCTTTGTTAAATTGACCCTAATAACACTAAAGACGCCATAGTAAGTCTCTCTAATAGATTTACTCTCGTTATAGACAGTTGTAGGACACTCGGTGTAGATTATGAGTTGATTTCACTTCAGTTGTGCAACCCAGGCATTCATAACGAAATTCTTAGTCTTCTCTGCATCGCGCACTCTTCTCCACTTACGCGATTGCGTGCATCGCATCGCGCTCTCTTCTCGCATCACAGCGCGCTCGCGTCTCGCTACTTCTCGCTGCGGCCCGTCAACCTACATCACGCACAGTCACTGCCATTTAGCACCACGCACGCAGCACACTTTTGGCGCTCGCGGGTGTGTATTTCCAGAAGTGATCATGCGCACTTCCTCACACGCCACATGCTTCCATACACGCGGTTCTCTGCCGTCTCCACTTACGTTCCTCCAGCCCTTGAATTACCGCCCTGACTCGCCTTATTCACCTCCGTCCCCCAACTTATCCCCCACACACTTCCCCACTTACCTCCCTCCCTCCAACCCCTGGCTATCCCCCTCGTTCCCCCCGCTACCTTCCTTCATCCTACCCCGACTTACCCTCCGTCTCTCCCTGTCTCCATGTCACCCTGCCTCCAATCTCTTACGCTTCCACTCCCCTGCTACCGTGCCACTCTCCCGCCCTATCTACCACCGTGCAGGGAAACCCGGGGCGAGGTGGCTTCTTTGAGACGTCTCAAATCACGTCTCAAGAGACGTCTCAAGAGACGTCTCAAAACACTCTCCCGCCCTATCTACCACAGTGCAGGGGAACCCGGGGCGAGGTGGCTTCTGACTCGACTCAATAATCGCCTCTGCCGCTGTGCAGGGGAAGCCAGGACGGTGCGGAAATCTATCCGCGATGTGTTGGGGAAAGTGAGTTGGGGAAAGTGAGTTGACTTTTGGGTGGACTCAAAAGCCAGGACGGCGCGGAAATCTATCCGCGCTGTGTTGGGGAAAGTGAAAGCAGGCGGGAGTGGAGGAAGGAGTGCCGAAGAGGTTAGGTGTTGAGTGGTGAGAGCACGTGGGCGGTACGATAGGCGTGTGGGCAGCACGAGGGAGAGGCGTGTGGGCGGTAGGGGAGGCGTGTGGGCGGAAGGAGAGGCGTGTGGGCGGCATGAGGCGGCGGCCGGGGGTGGCAGGGCTGCAGACGGCAGCAGCAGTGAGGGGGCAGTACCGGTCGCTGGGGGAGGATGTGGCGAAGCAGCGCCAGGAGTCGCTGCGGCAACAGCTTGAAACATTCCGCGGCTTCCTCACGGAGTTTGCTCAGAAGCACAAGGTAAGAAACCTTGGCGGGCTCTTTCAGGGTGCGCAGTGCGGGGTGGACCCCCTCTCCATGTTCCTCTCTCCCCTCTCCCCATGCTCCGCTCTGCCCCCCATCCTCCCCCCGTGCAGAACGACATTCGCAGCAACCCAGCATTCAGGGCGCAGTTCCACGCCATGTGTGCGCAGTGCGGGGTGGACCCCCTGGCGTCCAACAAGGGCTTCTGGAACGAGCTGCTGGGCTTCGGTGACTTCTACTACGAGCTTGGTGAGGCGCTTGTTGAGTCCAATCAAACAACCACGCCATGCCACGCCATGCCACGCCATGCCACGCCATGCCACGCCATGCCACGCCATGCCACGCCATGCCATGCCACGCCACGCCATGCCATGCCACGCCATGCCATGCCACGCCATGCCACGCCATGCCATGCCACGCCATGCCATGCCACGCCATGCCATGCCACGCCATGCCATACCGTGCCTTACCATGCCATGCCATGTTATGCCATGCCTTACCATACCATGCCATGCCATGCTATGACATACCATACCTTATCTTGCCATGCCATGTTATGCCATGCTATGCCATGTCACATTCCTGTGCCCCTCCCCATTCCCCTTCCCCTATCCCTCCCGCCCCCGCTCTCCCACCAGGCAAGCATGCAGCAGCTGATGGAGACGTGCATGGCAACGAGAGCCGACAACGGAGGGTTGCTGCCATGCCATGTCATGGTCCCATGACGCCCCCATCCCTTGTTCCCCTTCCACTCCCCATTCCCCGTTCCCCCCCACCAGGAGTGCAGCTGATAGAGACGTGTATGGTGACGAGGGCGGACAACGGCGGGCTGATCAACCTGGAGGAGCTGCGGCGCCTTGTGTCGGGCAAGTCAACTCACAAGCCATCCCACCTTTCGCTTCCCCTTCTTTTTCCCCTCCCTCCCCCCCCCCTCTCTCCCCCCCAGGAGTGCAGCTGATAGAGACGTGTATGGCAACCAGGGCGGACAATGGCGGGCTGATCAACCTGGAGGAGCTAAGGCGACTGGTGGCAGGCAAGCGACGCATGCCTCTGGATGCGCTCTCACATGACGACTGCATGCGCGCCCTCGCCACCATCAAGGTGATTTTCTAGGCGCCTCAGGAATCGCCTCACTTCGTTGCATTATTCGTTGCATGGAGGTGTGCACGTGACCATCAGAAGTTTATCGTGCATGAGAAGGTACCAAGGGTTATCAACCCTCTGTTTTTGAGTCGACTCAAAAACACCCTCCTCCTTCACCACAACCCTCTGTTTTTGAGTCGACTCAAAAACACCCTCCTCCTTCACCACAACCCTCTGTTTTTGAGTCGACTCAAAAACACCCTCCTCCTTCACCACAACCCTCTGTTTTTGAGTCGACTCAAAAACACCTTCCTCCTTCACCACAACCCTCTGTTTTTGAGTCGACTCAACAACACCCTCCTCCTTCACCACAACCCTCATTTTTTGAGTCGACTCAAAAACACCCTCCTCCTTCACCACAACCCTCTGTTTTTGAGTCGACTCAAAAACACCCTCCTCCTTCACCACAACCCTCTGTTTTTGAGTCGACTCAAAAACACCCTCCTCCTTCACCACAACCCTCTGTTTTTGAGTCGACTCAAAAACACCCTCCTCCTTCACCACAACCCTCTGTTTTTGAGTCGACTCAACAACACCCTCCTCCTTCACCACAACCCTCTGTTTTTGAGTCGACTCAACAACACCCTCCTCCTTCACCACAACCCTCTGTTTTTGAGTCGACTCAACAACACCCTCCTCCTTCACCACAACCCTCTGTTTTTGAGTCGACTCAACAACACCCTCCTCCTTCACCACAACCCTCTGTTTTTGAGTCGACTCAAAAACACCCTCCTCCTTCACCACAACCCTCTGTTTTTGAGTCGACTCAAAAACACCCTCCTCCTTCACCACAACCCTCTGTTTTTGAGTCGACTCAAAAACACCCTCCTCCTTCACCACAACCCTCTGTTTTTGAGTCGACTCAAAAACACCCTCCTCCTTCACCACAACCCTCTGTTTTTGAGTCGACTCAACAACACCCTCCTCCTTCACCACAACCCTCTGTTTTTGAGTCGACTCAACAACACCCTCCTCCTTCACCACAACCCTCTGTTTTTGAGTCGACTCAAAAACACCCTCCTCCTTCACCACAACCCTCTGTTTTTGAGTCGACTCAAAAACACCCTCCTCCTTCACCACAACCCTCTGTTTTTGAGTCGACTCAAAAACACCCTCCTCCTTCACCACAACCCTCTGTTTTTGAGTCGACTCAAAAACACCCTCCTCCTTCACCACGACCCTCTGTTTTTGAGTCGACTCAACAACACCCTCCTCCTTCACCACAACCCTCTGTTTTTGAGTCGACTCAACAACACCCTCCTCCTTCACCACAACCCTCTGTTTTTGAGTCGACTCAAAAACACCCTCCTCCTTCACCACAACCCTCTGTTTTTGAGTCGACTCAAAAACACCCTCCTCCTTCACCACAACCCTCTGTTTTTGAGTCGACTCAAAAACACCCTCCTCCTTCACCACAACCCTCTGTTTTTGAGTCGACTCAACAACACCCTCCTCCTTCACCACAACCCTCTGTTTTTGAGTCGACTCAACAACACCCTCCTCCTTCACCACAACCCTCTGTTTTTGAGTCGACTCAACAACACCCTCCTCCTTCACCACAACCCTCTGTTTTTGAGTCGACTCAAAAACACCCTCCTCCTTCACCACAACCCTCTGTTTTTGAGTCGACTCAACAACACCCTCCTCCTTCACCACAACCCTCTGTTTTTGAGTCGACTCAAAAACACCCTCCTCCTTCACCACAACCCTCTGTTTTTGAGTCGACTCAAAAACACCCTCCTCCTTCACCACAACCCTCTGTTTTTGAGTCGACTCAAAAACACCCTCCTCCTTCACCACAACCCTCTGTTTTTGAGTCGACTCAAAAACACCCTCCTCCTTCACCACAACCCTCTGTTTTTGAGTCGACTCAAAAACACCCTCCTCCTTCACCACAACCCTCTGTTTTTGAGTCGACTCAACAACACCCTCCTCCTTCACCACAACCCTCTGTTTTTGAGTCGACTCAACAACACCCTCTGTTAGAATTATACATTGTAGCATGCTAAGCACATGTGACTGTACACCAATTGTGGTGTACAGTTGGGTTGGGACTACACCCAACATTGGGTGTAGCCTTGCACTTTGGGGTGCCAATCCACCCAATTGTGGTGGAGCCCCCAAATTGCAACCCTCTTGACTTTTGGGTACCTCACTTCACAATTGAGGCCACCACAAGCCAAGTGGGCCTAGGGTTGCCACACTTCTTAGAAGTGTGGGCAACCCAACCCACCCCACCTATGGTTACCTCACTTCCCAAAGTGAGGCCAACCCAACCATAGGTTGGGTTCCTCCTTCCCTTCCAAGCTTCTCTTCCCAAACTATGTATGCTAGGTTTGCTCTCTAATGAGATCACTTGTTCAATTCACATCTTTCACATGGTATAGAGCTAGTTGTTCCTCAAACCTTAACTCTCCCTCCCTCAAGTTTTTTTTTTCCTATGGGCCCACCCCACAGCCACAATTTCCCTCCTACATTTAGCTCGACCTAGCATACTCTAGCAAGCGCATCGCCGCCTCCTCCCCTAGCCGTCGCGGCCATCCCGCCGCACCGTCTCCTCCCCTCGCCGCCGTGGCCATTTCGCCGCCGCCGCCTCCTCCTCTCGCCGCCGCGGCCATTTCCGCCGCCGCCGCCTCCTCCCTTCGCCGCCGCGGCCACTTCCGCCGCCGCCGCCTCCTCCCCTCGCCGCCGCGGCCGATTCCGCCGCCGCCGCCTCCTCCCGTTGCTGCCGCGGCCGATTCCGCCGCCGCCGCCTCCTCCCCTCGCCGCCGCGGCCGATTCCGACGCCGCCGCCCCCCCTCCCTTTGCCGCCGCGGCCACTTCCGCCGCCGTGGCCACTCCCCCCGCCGCCGCCTCCTCCCCTCGTCCCCGCGGCCGCTTCCGCCGCCGCCGCCTCCTCCCCTCGTCGTCGCCTCTCTCACACCGTCGCCGCCTGCGCCTCCCGCCGCGGCGCCCACTTCCTCCCCCTTCCCCTTCTCCCCTCCCCTCCACAGCAGCGGCAGCAGCGGCAGCAGCGGCAGCAGCAGCAGCAACAGCAGCAGCGGCAGCAGCGGCACCAGAGGCAGCAGCAACAGCAGCCGGAGCAGAGCTCCATCCTCCTGCAGCAGCACCTCCCCCCCCCCCCCCCCCCCCCTGTTGGCCGCCGCGGGTCCACCCGCCGTCGCCCTCCTCCTTGACCGCCGCGGGTCCACCCGCCGTCGTCCCCCTCGAGGCCGCCGCGGGTCCACCTGCCGTCGCCCCTCATGGATACCACTCCTCCCCCTCTTCCCCCTCCCATTGACGCCTCCTCCGTCGACAAGCTCCAACTTGCCGCGGACCGCTCGGCGATCAATTGGCACTCCTTCGTCGGGAGCATCCGCCGCGTTCTTCAGGACGCATTCGTCGGACCCTACTGCGTCCTCGACGTCCTCCTCCGCCGCCCGCAAGCTCTCCAGCCCACGGCACCCAGTCACCCCGGCGAACCCCCTCCACCCCCCGATCCTCCTGGCCCTCCTCCTTCTGAACCCACCTTGGAGATCGCCTCTACCCCAGCGCTCCAGAGTGCCGCCGATGCCACCTTCCTCCATGACCGCCGCGAGTACCTCATCCGCAAGGCAGAGCACGAGGTCGCAGTCCACCATCACGACTTCGCAGTAGCGGAACGCGCCAACCGCCTGGCCCTCCTCGATGAATACAACACGGCCATGGCAGACTACCTCCCCAAGAGCATTGCATGGGCCGCTGCTGACAACCGCGCCTGCACCATCCTCCTCGGCGCACTCCCTGATACCCTCATGCGCCGTTTCCAGGCTCGGGAGATGCGCGCCTCCCTCATCTGGGCCGAGCTCCAGGCAATGTTCGAGCGCCGCGACATCAGCTCTGTCGGCGCCCTGTTCCAGGAGTACTTCTCCATCACCCTCGCTACCTGTGACGGCGCAGTTGACTACGTGGGGCGCATGCAGGAGGTCGCTGACCGCCTTGCTGCACGCCAAGCTGCCCTCCCCGAGCCACTGCAAATCCACCGCCTCCTCTACAACCTCACCCCGGACTACGAGTCCCGCCTCCATGCCTTCACTGAAGCGAACGCCATGGCCGGCCTCAACGACGTGGTCCAATGGATCATCGACACGGAGGTCAAGCTCCGCACCCCCGTTGTCAACCTCACCACCCCTCAGCCCTCCTCCTCCAGCTCCCTCAATGCTACGCAACCGCGCAACCAGGGTGGTCGCAGCGGCGGCGGTGGAGGCCGTGGAGCGGGTGGTGGTGGTGGAGGTCGTGGCGGTAGTGGTGGTGGTGGCGGTAGCCGTGGTGGCCGTGGCGGAGGTGGTGGTGGTGCTAGCAGTACCTCTGCTGGAGGACCGTCCGGTGCTAGTGGTGCTGTGACTCGAGGCGCTCGCCCTGGCACTCTCCCCCCATGCACGTATGTGCGCCGCCATGGTCCCCATGCTGGTACCCCTTGCGGCCAAACCAACCATCCCCCCAGCACGTGCTTCAAGGCGCTCGACGACGCCTGGTTTGACCGAGGTAACACTGGCACCCCTCCTCGCTGGAACACTGTCACCCCTCGCCCCTCCCTGGTGGATGTTCAAACCCTCCCATCTTTCCTTCCTGCTCACCTCCGCCTGGTTAGCCCCTCCCAGCCTTCCCAGCTGCAGCAATTTCAGCAGCACCAGCAGCAGCAGCATCAGTACTTCCAGCAGCAGCAGCAGCAGCAGCAGCAGCAGCAGCCGTAGTTTCTCCAGCCGCATCAGCCGCCGCCGCCGCATTTCTTCCAACCGCCGCCGCAGCAGCAGCAGCAGCAGTTCCTTCCCCCGTACTGGCAGCAGCAGCCACTGACCTTCGGCACGGCGGCTACGGCCGCCCATGCCTCCCTTGCTCCCCCCCCTCCCTGGGGTTCCCTCCCCTCTGCCCCCCCAAGTGTCCCCGACACTTCGGGCAGTTTCCTTGGTAATGTCAGTATTGCACCATCCGTCGCTTCC